GACAAGTATTTCAAGTAATTAGTGGGTGTTTGGAAATGCCTAGGAATTCAAATGACTAGTATGTCTAAAGAAATTCAAATATGCCAAAAAGTAGGTGAGGATTAGACCTATTCATGGGCCGGGCCCCAGCTCATTATTAAGTCAAGCTTGGTCATAATTTTAGGCCCACAGGAGCATTGGGCCCAGCTTTCTCAAAAAAGCCTAGCTCAAGCCCGATCCCGAGCCCGACTTGATACTATATACTAAATAATAAAAATAATATATAATATTTTTTCTTTGTTCTTCTTCTCTTTTTTTTTCAAGTAATAGGGAGATGTTTATTATTTTTGAGTTTTGAAGGTTTTTAATATAAATAAAACACTTTTTTTATTGAATAAAAAAAATTCTATTTCAAATTTCTGGTTGGGTTCAAGCTTCGAGCTTTATATGAGGGCCAGGCTCGGGCTCAAAACTTAGGCCCGATGTTCGAGCTAGGCTCGGGCTCAGGCCTGAGTGTATTCTATTGATACAGATACAAAGCTTGGCCAAAACCCGGCTTGGCCCGGCCCATGAACAAGTCTAGTGAGGATTGATGGTTTAAATTCCCCAATTGTTTAGTCCCACTCATCTACAATATCTTTCTGGAAAGCATAACTTGCACAAAAGGCCTTATATAGGAGGCAATAAGACAATGTAATTGCATTAGCATTGAAACATATGAAATTGCCATAACTAACCTTGCAAGACACCATTATTTTCAACCACTCCATGTAAGTCTTAAGGTTGCGAGTTGGATATCCGATTTGAAGAATTACATTGCATCGGGCCGGGTCGGGGCATCTAGCCCTTTCAAATGTTAACAAAAGTCCAATTCAAGTCCACCCAAATAGAGATGGGAGGGTTTTGTAAATTCAAGATCCTACCCACTTCCCTAAATCTCCTAATTCATACCCACCCCAAAACCTGTAGCAGCTTGAATTTTGAGAATCCAAATCCTCCCTCTATTCAAGAGTAGGACGAGTTGGGTTTAGAATCAATATTTAATTTCTTATTATTTCTTATTATATATAAATAATAAATAAATAAAATAGTATAAAAAATTTAATTATTTGATTAAAACATGTAAAAAAAACATATAAACTATCAATCATCCTTCATATAAAATTTAAAATGTTAGGTATTAATTAAGTTCAACACTTAATACATAAAATTTATATGCTTTCCAACAATATATTGATTAGGAAGAGTCATGTTTAGTCACTGGGTAAGGTAGAATCCCAAAACCCATCTCCACCCCAAAATCCGTCATTCAAATAAAAAATTAAAAAAAAGGGTCCCATCAAGACCAATAGGGGCAAATACGCACTGGATAAGGTAGAAATTGCCATCTCTACAACCAAATCTCACTTTAAAAAAACACAAGGATTTCAATGCCTTATGCTTTATATTAATATAGATCCCATGCCCAAATTCGTTTAGAGAAAAGTGGGTTCTTATTGACAACAAAATCTGATTTTACTAACCTAAATTTTCTATATAAACCGAAGGTGTCATAGAAAGATGCACTTTGAATTTTTAATTTAACTATTTCTCTTTGCAATGTTTAATGGGTAAATTCCAATAAGGGTTTACCGCTATCTTCTTTATCCCATTCACACGTGCAATCTACTTAAAATTGAGTCAATTGACATTCCCTGTCTACCGAATAAGGTTTTTTAAATCAAATCCGACAACGAATCGGTCAAGGTCTTGTTCTTGGGTTGAACAATCCAATTGTTCAAATCGAACGAATGACCCATTCTGATAAAATATAAAAAATAATAAAACAGTCAAAACTGTTGGATGATTCGAACTGTTCAAACGGTTCAACTGCCCAGATCATCGGTTTACTGGCTAAATCAATAGTTTTTTAGTGAAATAATGGTTCTGAGGTAAAATGGAACCGATTACCTAACCGGTTTCTGATTTTTTCAGTCTGACCATCCGGTCCGGTCTAATTTTAAAAACCATGCTACCCAACTCTCTTATCGGCTGAAAAATGGTCCACCCAAACGTCAGCTCATCCGGGAAATCACCTAATTTCAATTGGCTGAACCCTAACAATTAATTATTTACCTTTCAGCTTTGCTTTAGGCCGGTTGTCTGACCCGGTGGACTCATCTGCTTTTAGACGACAAGGCTTCTCCACCTGCAAATGTGTGAGGCAACTGTTAAGACTATGATTATCGAACCGTCATTAACTTGAACAGTTGGACTGTTCAGCCTGTACATCACCCAGACAGCCGGTTCTATTTCATCTCTAAAACGTTATTTTGTCAAAAACCATTGATTTTATCAGTGGCCGGTTGACTTGGGTAGTCAAATTGTTGATACATTCAATTTGGATAACATTTTTATAATTATTTTTTATTTTTTAATTACAAAGGGTTGTTTGTTCTGACTGGATTGTTAAATCGGTAGTTAAAATGGTTCCAATTCTGAATCAATTTTTAAAATATTGGTAATTAAGGCCAACAATATTGCACTCTTTGCCACTATGTAAACCTCAAATGTACACACCGGAATTTAAAAATCAGTTTTGGAAGAAATACCATTTTAATTAGGAGATATTTAATAAACAGAAATAAATAATTAATTATAAGATTGTATTTTGTGTTAAATCCATTTTTCTTAAATTTCAATATTAAATCAATACAATGATACCAAACAGCTTTTCATGTTCATACAAAGGAATTTAAAAATCACTTTTGAAAGAAATACCATTTTAATTAGAAGATATTTAATAAACAAAAATAAACAATTAATTATAAGATTATACTTTGTATTAAATCCATTTTTTCATAATTTTCAATATTAAATTAACACAACGATACCAAACAGCTTTTCATGTTTATACACGTGCAAAATTGCAAATACAATTTTTGTGTACGTAATCAACTTATCACCATCTAAAATTAGATAGACTTTAGAAAAGAAAAAGAAAAGATGCATAATTTTCTTTCCTTTCTTGATATTCCAATTGGTGGTGAAAAGTTCAACAGCCTTGGAATATATTAGATTTGTCTAGATATGAGACCACGCCATTTGATCAACCTCGAATTTTCCAGCAGAAATTTATAGATAAAAACAATTAAACAAATTTAAAAAGTACTTAATTATGATTTTGTAAATTAATAAACATTTGATAGAATTTAGTGATTGGCTGAAAAAATTAATTGGCCCAAATGGGCCCACCAATGATATTGAATTATGGTTCTTCTTTCTCAGCAGAATAGAATAAATCCACACTGGCTCCCTTGTTGATGAATCTGTGAAATGACGTAGAGAAATTCCTATCTAGAGTTCATTAGTGGGAGTGATTGCCAAATCATCTTCTTGAAGGAATACTAATATGCATGAATCATCTAAAATTTGGTTTGTAGTTTAATTTTGTGACGATGGGAGTCATTTGGTTCTCACCCCTATTGATGTGCCATTTGAAACTGTAGAGAGATTGTTTTGAAGAAACCTTGCTAGTTGCTATAAGGCCCCGTTGGGGAGTGCTTATTTTAGGTTGGGATCACGTCAATAATCACATACGCATTTTGGAAAATATGCCAAAACGATTACTTTTTTCATAAGCCCATTTTGAATATGCTCAAAGTTTTGCATTTTCAGCCACCTTTTGAAAAAGGGTTTATTTCGGGTTCATCTTAGCCTGCCATGTAAATATGTAATTTTTAACAATGTTTTAAAAATGGGAAGATGTCCGATTAGTATCCTCTATTCTGGTTCATCTTAGTGTCGCTTTGGTCTCCCGAACTTTAAAATATGATAATTCAGTACCCCAAATTTTCAAAACGTATTAATCCAATACCATCCATTAACCAACCGTTAAGTGGCATTTGATAAGACACAAATGCCCTTCGAGTGTCATCTAAGTCTCTTTATCAACCATCCAAACATCGACAAAAAATGAATGGTCATAAATCCTTGCATCTTCTATTCAAGAAAGTTGGTCATAAAGAGGCAAGGATCTGGTACTGTTCATTTTTTATCAATGTTTGGATGGTTGATAATGAGAATTAGATGACACTCGAAGGGTATTTGTCTTTTCACATACCAATTAATGGTTGGTTAATGGTACGTATTGGATTGGCATGTTTTGAAAGTTTAGGTACAGAATTGCTGCGTTTTAAAGTTTGGGAATCAAAGAAGTGGCACTAGGCCCAAAGTACAGGGTACTAATTGGGAACTTTACCTTTTAAAAATCAACCCTGAATTGGAATCGTTCTGGGTTAATGATTCAACCATCCGATTCGAACAAATGACATATTCCAATGAAATAAAATAAAATAAAAATACAATCAAAACCGTTGAACTGATCGAATGAATTAATAGTTCGATCACTCGGATCAACAAGACATTAACCAATTCAATGGTTTTTGGCTAAGAACTAAATTTAGGGTAAAACGGAACTGGTTTCCTATAAGGTTCAACCGTCGACATGAAACACGGTTCGAAAACATTGATTTTTAAAATACTTGTACTACCCCATTGGAAAGAATCACATCTCAACAAAGCACTTTTTTCCCAAATGGGGGTTCAGACCACAATGAACTCATTTCATTTCATTGACAGCTAAACGGTGAATACAGAAAAATGTTGTCATAGCTTTCTCCTGATCATGCGAATCTTATTACAGACAAAAAGGGCGTCTCTCCATTGGATAAACTCAACCCAATCGATGCTCTGAGATTGCTATCGCAGATTAAATCGAAAATCCCAAAATGAATGATTAACAAAAGAGAGAAGCGTTTTGTCAATCTGCAACTTGCTAAGAATCATACTTTGCATATATAGCTGTCATCTGTACGCTCATCTTCATTCTCATTCCAATGTACAGACGTACGGTTTCCCCTTTTTCTTATTTCCATTTCACACATCTGCAGATGAAGATCTCGTCAATCTGCAATTTGCCATTCCTTCGCTACTGTACTGTGTGATAAAACAAGGGTAGTCCTTAGTTTTTCTCTACCACCCTCACTACCATATATATAAATAAGGCTCCATGGCAGCTGCAGTTCATCGCAGTAGACAAGTCTCAGTGTATTCAGTTCATATCTCTCTTGCTTATTTACATTTTCTGTCTAGTTCCTCCACGTTAACAAACTCGGTCATCTCTCCTCTCGGCATTGCCGAATCCCCAGAAAATCTACATTTTCTCGCCGGCCGGCCGGATAGTTATTGATGGAGAGGGTGGTGGCATTGGCTTCACAGATGCCAGTGGTGATCTTCAGCAAGAGCTCCTGTTGCATGTGTCACGCCATCAAGACTCTCTTCAGTGATTACGGGGCCAGCCCTGTTGTCTATGAAATCGATTTGGACCCTCGAGGGAGGGAAATCGAGAGAGCTCTCCTGGGGCTGGGGTGTAAGCCGTCTGTGCCGGCAGTGTTCATCGGCGGCAAACTAGTGGGTGGAGCTAACGAAGTCATGACCCGTCAACTCGACCGCTCCCTAAAAGAATTGCTCATGCGTGCTGGGGCTATCTTTCTTTAATAACCCACTGACTCTATGACTTCTGTTACTTGTAATAACTCAGAAATCGTCTCCACTCTGTAGAGCTTCCTTGAGTTTTGCATTGCAGGAACCCCTCATTTTGTATCTCCCTTGTATTGTTCACTAATAAACTTGGGCATTTGTCCTGCTTATTTGCCACCAACTATTTGCTTATAATTTCCCCTTCAACGCAATTTCTACTTGAAGATGTACAAGGCATGGTTTTCAGAACCGGATGGGACCGGAAAAACCAGGAACAGGTTAGGTGACTGGTTTCGGTTTTCTTCAAAACCGGAAATTTATCCAAAACCGTTGATTTTGATCAAAGAATCGATGACCCGAACGGTTAATTGTTCGAACGATTTTGACCATTTTTATTTTTTTTGTTAGCATGGGCCGACCGTTCGACCCGGTAACTGAACCCCTGACTGGTTCGGTCTCCAAGTCATTTTTAAAAACCATGGTACAAGGGCTTCTAGCCTTCTATGTGTGTTGCCTGCAGCCTGCTTCACGTATGTACTGATATAAGAAAGTCCAACCCAATAGAGGACCAGACCAGACCAGGGAGGCCTTATTTTCTGGGCTTTGAAGAACATGGCCCATGTTAGGCCCATCAATTTCATGGGATAGTGATTAGGAATGGCAACGAAGCGGGATCATACTCTCCATTCCCAATCTCGACTTTGAAACAAATCCCCATCATCGATCTCAATCTCATCAGGGATAAAAGTCCTGATCCTGAAAGATATAACCCCATCCCTAACCCGATGAAGTTGAGAATGACAGGTACCTGATGGGGATAGTGATGGGACCTCTGGGCTGGAACACAAAACCAAGCCCATTGCTTGTACTAATCCCACAAATCCTGTGAGCTCTTTTCCATTTTCCATTTTCTGTGTGGATTCTGGGCATGCATGTGTTTCATACTGATCCCACATCAAGCATGCAAATGTTACTATGTTAGAGAATAATTTTGTACGTTTTCTAGGTATTTAGATTTTGAGAGATAAGCTTACTGTTTGGTATATATCCAGAAAAGAATTAATGCCCAAGCACATTTCTAATCAAGTTGGCATTCCTCTGATCCTCTCCAACTAGCACCACCCACACCTGTCTCCTCATTCATTCACTCTTTTACACCATGGATAAAATGAGGTTGCTTCATCTTGATTCTTGAGGTAGAATAGCAAAATATCGATTTGATATGGGAAATGGCCCACACATGACCCATGCCAAATCTGGGTTTTAGCCAGATTATGAATTTTTTTTTTTTTTTTTTGCCATAAGGGATGACATGGAAAGTTGGAAACTGATTTTCTCTATATGAATAAAAGACAACAATTAAGACAAACATGAGGAGAGGAGCCGCTGGAGAATCAAGCTTGCATTTGGGTAGTTGTGCTTTGAAGCCCAAAATCACAAAGTCTTAGGTGTCGTTTGGCACGTTTTGTTAGAAAGATTTTCGAGCAACCCAGATGGTCAAAAGACCTATTGAACTTTCGGGGTCTTATATTTAAAGATAAAGGACCTTTTGATAAGTAGTTTTGATCTTCCTTTTTTTTTAGTAAAAAAATATGTTTAAAGGCTATTTATCACATGAAAATATTAAAAAGCTTCATTTGAAGTTTCCTGAAGTTTGGTATTTTAAGTCTTTTTAGATTTTGCACACATCTTTTGGTCACCAAACAAAAGAAAAACAAATTTTTGGTTTTTCAAATTTGTCGAAACCCAAAAGACCACCCCAAGAAACTTGTCAAACATCACCTTAATTTTAGGGTTGGAAGGGAGACTCAAAAGTCAAAACTGTTTGGCTTTAGATTTTAATGCTTTCAAAAGTAACACTAATTAAGGCAACAAGTCATGCATTGTGTTCAACCATTTCAGCTGTTATGCTGGGCCGCAGGGATTTGGGATATGGTGAGGCCCTAATAAGATGGCCACATCGTATCGGTGGAATTTGAGAGGAATTGAGTTTCACTCTCCTTTCATGCGGTTCTGATAAAGATATTAAGATATATAACTAAGCCTCAACGTCAGCCCCAGAAAGAGACAGACCTCAGGTAGCGCAAGAAGGAAAGTGAACTCCATTTTCATAACTTTGTAACATTTCATGCTTCAAAGTTGACATGATGTGCTACAGAATTTTCTACTTTTCCCCACTATAGCCTTACTCCTCTTTCTCTCTCTCTCAACAGATCCTAATTCCTTGCTACTTTATCTGCGAATGCGATGCCACGATCCGAGCCCGTTCTTCATTATCCAATTTCCCGTATTTATGTATTATTATTTATAAAAGATATTCTCATAAATATGGTGGGATGTGTATATGAGGTCGTTGTAAGGTTATCTGTGTGAGTAGCATATTCTAATTCCTTCAAACAGGCGTCAATCATAAGTGGGGGTGAGAAAAAAAACCGAAAAACCGAATCGATCAAAAAATCCGATCAAAACTGAAAAAAAAAATTGGTTAATTTAATCGGTCAGTTCGGTTTCGGTTCGATATTCTTAAAAAATTGATAGTTTTGGTTCAGTTTCAATTAATCATTTAAAAAATTAGCGGTTAATCGAACCGATCAATATATATACAATAATTTACATTTATATAATATTATATATATTATATTATTTTTTTTGAAAATCGAATAAAAGAGTTCGGCAGTCTAAGAGACTTTTAGCCTTTCTCTTTGAAATTTGAACCTTTCAATTGAAAGTTTGGCAATCTACCAGACTATCAGTCTCCAATCTCCATTGGTTTTCTCTTTTGTCTTTTCCCCAGATTGCCAAAGTGCCAGACTCTCTCAGTCTTTTCTCTTTTCTCTCTCCCAGTCTCTCAATTTCCTCTTGTGTCTCACACTCTCTCAGTTCTTCGACTCTTCTATTCTAATCTTCTTCTTCTTCTTCGACTCTTCTCTTCTAATCTTCTTCTTCTTCTCCGGCTCTTCTCTTCTAATCTTCTTGTTCTTTGACTCTTCTGCTTCTTCTTCGACTCTTCGTATTCCCCACTCCAAATAGCCGCGTGGCCCGCGCCAACCACCAGCGCGGCAGCACCAAGCAGCAATGCCGGTCGCCACCTCGCCGACAAGCAAGCACCAATGGTCCAATTCCATCTTTGACTCTGATCTTTGTATCTCTCTTCTCTCTCTCTCTCTCTCTCTCTCTCTCACCTCCCCTCTTTGCGCCTCCGTCAAGCGCTACCTCTCAAGCTCTCACTTCAGGCGACAGTCAACAGCAACCACCAGCACCAACCAGTTCGACATTGACAACAACCACCGATAGTTTTAAGTTTTTTTTTTTAATGCATTAAAAAAAATCGAAAAACTGAACCGCGATTAACCGGTCACCGGTTCGGTTTTGGTTTGGATATTTAAAAACCGATCAGATCGATTCAGTTTGAAAAAATACCCCATGTTTCGGTTACCCCTAATCACAAGTTGTGATCACAACCCAAGTTTATATAGATAGATATATAGATTTAACTTAGTACCTGTTTGGGAGATTGAAGAATAATAACAACTTCCTTGCTTTCTGAGGTGGGTCATATATAGATAATCTATAATGGGAAACTCCCATCTATCAAGGTCCAAAGTATTTGATACATCTCTGTATGGGTACTAAAAACCATGTGCTTTTATATAATATATTTTTTATTTTTTTTTCAAAAATTGATTTTTTGGATAAATTTTTATATATATTTTTTATTAAGAAGAGAGGGTTCTCGAAACACCAATTTATCCAAAAGATACAATACAATATGTTTGATACATCAAAATTTTGATCCTTGCTGCCTATAAATCATGTTTGGTGAAAAATCCAAAGAGCCCAAATTGTCTATCAATCAGTTATTTGAAAGGCTGTTCGTTTCAGCCTCCTCTAACAGCTAAACCGAAGCGTTTCATAGCAGCTGAATTAGCTTAACTAAATCTTTAACGCAGCCCTCCTGAATTTAACTAGGGCTGCATTTGGCATTCCTTATTTTAAGGATTTATCTACTTTTTGCTGTTAAAAATTCAGTTTTCATAAGGACATTTTAACTGTAAAAAGGTGGTAAATCCTTAAAATAAGGAATGACAAATGCAGCCTAGACATGACGAACTTATTTAAAGCGAAGTGCAATGACAGAGATAATGATTTGAGGCCAGAGGCCACGGTTCAAGGATGAAGGCTGAAGCTTTTTCAGCAAAATATGGTGGATAAGATAGCATTTTTGGCCAATGATATATAGTAGTTGTTATGGCCGGCCTGCATTCTAAATTAGGAGGCACAGTATCAAAGTTAGGTATGCAAATGGATCGGATCAGATCGGACTTGAATCAGGGTATATCTGAATCCAATCCAACACTATTAATTGTATATCCGATTAGGGGTGCTCGCGGGTCGATTAATTGAATCATGGGCCTTTTTTTGTAATCGAACTGGTACTACCGGTTTTTGGAAAACCGGTAACCAAAACCAAACTGAAGCCGATCAGTTTACTGGTTCGGTTATCCATCAGTTCGGTTCATTGGTTTTTTGGTTTTTTTAATTTTTACAATATATATTATAAAAATATAATAAAAAAATTAAATATAATATTATATTTTAAATAATAAATAATAGATCATATATCATATATTATAAATATATATAATGCATATTTATTAATTCATAATACATAAAAATATAATCTATAATATACATAAATATATATATAATATATAGAAATATATGTATACCGGTCGGTTCGGTTAACCGCCGGTTTTCTTTATTGGTTAACCAAAACTGAACCAGTACCTTTGGTTTTTTAAAAACACGACCGGTTCAGTTTCGGTCATTTTTTTTTTTTGCTCACCCCTAGATCCGATCCGATCCGATTCGATCCGAACGTTTGATCAAATCACATAAACACGGATTTCAATTCAAATCTGATGAGGCAATTAGATCTTCGGATCTGATGAGATCCAATTTCATTTTTTAAAAAGAATAAATAAATTATTAAAAGAAAAATAAAATATAACAATTTAAATAAAAAAACAAAAAAATACAAGTATCTTTTCAACTATTTTGATCATATATATACATATTTTTATAAAAAATAAATAATATAACAAATTAACAAAAATACAATATAAATAATATATTTATAAATAAATAAATAAATAACATATATATTGGAACGAATATGGGTGATCCAAATTCGTTCTAATTTCTATCGGATCCTATTATCCGATCTGATCCAAAGATCTAAAATAGGACTATCCGAATCCAAGAATATAAAATCGGACTTTGAATCGAATCAGATCATTGCACCCCTAATCAAACCTATGGAACCTTAAACTCTCCATGGTATGACCAATGGGCCTCATGTGCAGCCTATATTGTGAGTTAAATAGTGTGAAAAAAATATGAGCATCTTTGGGGGCATTTAAAAATACACCTGCATATTTTGATTACCAAACTGCCCCTAAAGATTAGTCCGGATCAGCACACATGTCTGATACAGGAATATTATTTTATCCAAATTTAATGAAAATGGGAAATAAATTCGAAAAAAAAGAAATAGAAAAGCAGATAGCGTTATGGGCCTTTAATTGCTCATGGAAAATGATTTGGGTGATAGATTGATGATCAAGGCTCAGACAAATAGTGTCCACAGGTATCTCTGTCTCCATATCTCTCACACTGAGATACATATATTATGAGACACGAGGCCGGTGTAAGGCCAACTTTTGAGCCAACAAGCCATAAGTATGAGGATGCACAGCAGGCTTTTAGATGCCTGTGGACACTATTTGTCTGAGCCTTGATCATCAATCTATCACCCAAATCATTTTCCATGGCCACCCCATTGGATAAAAGCATCCTTCTTGATGCTCTTATCAGGTTAGTTCTGATCAATGTTTTAAAAATTGATATAGAATTGTAACTGTTTTGGCCACCAGTTTTTTGGTCGATGATTCGACTGTCCAGTTTGAACATATGACTTATTTTGATGAAAAAAATTAAAAAATAATTAAAATAAAAATAGCCAAAATTTGTTGAACAGGTTGATGGTTCGATCATCCAGGTCAATGGGCCATTGATCAAATTAACGATTTTTTGGTAGGGATCGGATTTGGGGTAAAATGGAACTGGTTGCTCAAACGGTTCCCAAGCTGAATGGTTCGACCTCCTATTCTTGTTATCTCCCATACTTGTTACGGGGAGATGTTCCTAATGCACAATTGCATGGGATATACCCAATCCAATTCGTTAGTTATAAAATATTATTTGTTGTATATTATATATGTATATAGTATGTATTGTTTATATAATTATATATTATATAGCCACCTGCAACTTGGCTTGTTTATTCATTTCCTGCAATTAGGGGTGTTGATCCAGTCCAATGTGAGTCCATTACAAATGAATCGGGTCCAATCCAACCCAATAAATAATTTAGATCATTTTGGACCAGTCCGATTTAAGGTTCAGACCGTTCAATTTGTTTAAATTCATTTTAATTTAAATTAGTTTTAACCCAAACCCGATCCATTGACACCTATATTCTTATCTTATATCAATGGATCGGATATTGACTTAATCCAATCAAATCCAATATAAATTAATTACAGATAAACCAGGTCCAGTCCAATCTAATAAATATTTTAGATCGGATTGATCCAATCCAAGTCCGTCCAAATTGATTTTTGATATCGAGAGAGAGAGAGAGAAAGAGGTCATTATCAGCAGGTCATAATCAAGCTGAGGCTGCATATATATCTAATCTAAGGGAACATTCCCTCTTTCTCTCTATCTCTCATTTCGTTTTATTTCTTTTTTTCTGACAATATTTCCCCAGCCCCTTTACACATTGCAGGCCACCACTGACCACCAGTCCACGACCATCCTCTAGCGTATAAATACGTCTCCATGGCAGCTCAAGCTCATCATCAGCGATTTTTGTAGCCCATTTTCCTCTCATAATATTGCTCCATGGTGTCTGTATTCTAGTTCTAGTTAGCAATTTTAATTAATTAATTTGACGTGGTGTTGGGTGGGTGATGGATAAGGTAAGGACACTAACTTCAGAGAAGCCAGTGGTGATCTTCAGTAAGAGCTCTTACTGCATCTGTCATTCCATCAGGACTCTCTTCAGTGACTATGGCGCCAGCCCCACTGTTTATGAGCTCGATCATCTGGGTGATGCCGAGGGAAGGGAAATTGAGAGAGCTCTCCTGCAGCTGGGATGTAAGCCATCGGTACCGGCGGTGTTCATCGGCGGCAAGCTGATTGGTGGAGCCAAGGACGTCATGACCCGCAAACTGGACGGCTCTCTGAAAGAACTACTCATACATGCTGGATTTATTTTTCTTTGAAGGACTCATAATTAAGTACCATCACTACTTGCGTACAGATTTCCTTTTTTTTTTTTCTTTTTTGGCTCTAAATAAAGCAATTTACATGTTGTTTGGGAATGGCTTTTTTAGTCAAGTCCTTTACATGTAACTACTCATACTTACATGTTCATGTCAATAAATCTCAGACAGAAAGACCTTTTAATTCGCCAAGCATTTCCGTTTGAATTTTTGAGCTTTGGGCTGTGGAAAACAAAAATGGGCCAAAAAGTGTTTTCAGCATTTGGTAAGTTTTGCTTCTAAAAACATCATCATTTAAAATAAAAACTAAAAACAGCTTTAAACCCCAAAGAATATATTCAAATCACAGATCGCGAAGTACATCTTATCCAAGAGTTCACATCTGCTCCCCACAAGGAGGCGCCCCCGCAATGTCCCACAGCACATTCCCACTGTGTATTGGAAACATTTCCTGATGATAGTACTAGAAATGATGATACCGGTGAGAATGTGTTGTGGGGCGCAAATCTGAATTCATTATCCAAACGCAACCTCTCTCTCTCCCCTTTTTCTTTTATGGGCATAAATATGTTCCACACTGATCCGATCCGATGCCCACAATATATTGGTGACAATATAACAAGCACATGTGGAGCAGAAATGGATCGAGATTGAGAAATCAATCATACAAGAAAGCAACAGGGCACAAGGTACGTAGATGCTCGTATAGGATGGGAGTGGGGCTTTTGGGAGAAATCAAGAAGACCAATGGATTCCAAACGAGACGAGAAATGGGTATATTTTAAGGAAAAGTTACTTAAAACCCCCTTATGTGTTTTTGGGTAATTACTTAAATCTATCCTGTATTTTGATATCTAGAAAAAGCTCCTCTTATGTTTCGAGTTAGTATGCAAAGACACCCCTTTGTTATTTTTATTTTACTAAAAGAAACACCAATGTAATGCTTTGAAGTTTTTAAAATCTCACTTTTCCCCTGAAAAACAAGATTTATCAAAATTTATCAAAGTGATTCATTAAAATGGGTTTCATTGTTTACTTATGACCCATTTGGCATGTCTTTTCATGCAGGTTGCCAGTTTTTTAGAAGTTCAGTAGCCTGTATTTTTGTCTTTTCCCATTTTGTTGGAAAAAGATTTATCCGTCAAAAGATACAGTCCCGAAAAGACACGGGAAGCTTCAAATAGAACTTTTACACTTATTTTGTCTCATTTTCATGCGGTAAGACACACCTCGAACCAAATGGACTGTAGACTGCCAAGATTTTTATGTAAAAGCAACTTTTGACTATTAGATCTTTCAAAAAAAACTTATCAAACGGCACCTTAATTGGAGTGAACAACAAAGGCTGCCAGTGTTGAACTAAAAACCTCCCCATATTTTTTGCGCGCAATTTGAAGAAAGAACAATAGTATTCTACCTTGCCAATTCATAACAAGGGCATAGTCGTGATTTCAGTGTCTTTATGGAATGGGGTGCTTTTGCATATTTTGGAATAATGAAGAGAAGTTTTTAATTTGTAGAGGTTAAGTACAAAAAAGGTTTAATATCGTTGGAAAACACATAGAAGGTTAAAGTATTTCCCCTTTTCTAAAGGCTAGAACCGTCATATTCAATTTTTACATCAATAGATTTTCTATCTTTTCTTCAAGATATTTGGATTTTGAAATGTCATCTTTCTTGATGGTATCTATAAAAGCAATAAATAAAGCTAAGTTATAAATGGACGCCAGCCAGCTTTTTCTTCTCCTTGGCTTTCTTTCTTTTTGTTTATAGTAAGCGAGGTGAGAGATGATAAGAGAGGTCTCTTATTTATATATGTGATTATGCCACACAACCCGAATTGTTTTTCTTATTATTGGTTCTAAAAATAAATCAAAATTATTTTGTTTGAAAACATATTGTTTCTTAAAACAAAAACATAAAAAGAAAAAACACGTTCTTAGTTGTGTGTGTTTTCTTGTTTTCAAAACTGAAACCAAAATCATGTTCTTGAATCTGATTTCAAAAACATATTTTCATTTGATTATTGAACATCATGTTTCATAAACCATATAATTTCTATACTAGAAAATTTATTTTTGCTTTAAAAACCAATATTTTGTTGTAGGGGTGAGCATTCGGTGTATTCGGTTAAAAACCAAGCCGAATAAACCGAATTTTTAAAAACTGAATTTATAAAATATAAAACCAAATTGAAACCAAACTATTAAAAAAGCAAAACCAAATTTTTCGGTTCAGTTTTCGGTTTTTTCAGTTAAAACCAAATTTTATTAATATTATACTAATACATATTATATATTATATATATTAATATATTTATGTATATTATAATATATGTATATGCTAATGCATTTTATATATTTTAATATTTTATATAATATATTATGGTTTATATATTATATTATGTATATAAAAAATTTTGGTTAATTTGATTTTTTCGGCTAACCGAATTTCCAATCCTGAAAACTGAAACCGAAACTGATTTTTTTTAACCGAATTAAGCAAACCGAAAACTGAAAAAACTGAACCAAACAAACCAAAACCGAAAATATCGGTTCAGTTTTTTGGTTTTAATCGAACAATGCTCACCCCTATTTGGTTAGTTCAAAAAACATGTATTATTTTTTTGAAACAAAACCAACTTGTTCTTTTCCTTTGAAAACAAAAATAGAGTTCAAGAACATGTTTTTATTTCTTTTACTGATGTGGCGATTCCAAACACAAATGAAAACAAAAACATCCATGTTGTAGAACACCCCCTAAATCTTTTTATTCATTGCCTCTATGTATGTATATATGTTATGACTTTATGGGTTTCCATACCTATATGTAGCCAATGACCTAGTAGTTGAGGGGTGCAAGTCAATCTAGGTTAGGTCAGGTTTAGATTAACCCTAACCCAACCCGAGGCTCTAAACCCTAACACTCAACCTTTTAGGGGGTGTTCTACAACATGGATGTTTTTGGAATCGCCACATTAGCAAAAAATAAATAAACAAATAAAAACAAAAACATGTTCTTAAACTCTATTCTTGTCAAGAAAATATTGGTTTTTAAAATGAAAACAAATATTTTGGTATAGAAATTATATGATTTGTAGACCATGATATTGAATAATCAGATGAAAACATATTTTTTGTTTCAGTTTAGAAAAAAAAAAAAAAAACATGTACAAAACCAAGAACATGTTTCTTATGCTTTTGTTTTAAGGATTTGTTTTCAAACAAGATCGTTTTGATTTGCTTTTAAAACCGGCAACAAAAAAATGATTCATGCTGTAGGACACCCCCTTAGTCTACCTAGTCAACCCTAAACCTAATCTAACCTAAAATTCCTCAACCATGACTCAACCCAATAACTTTGAGTGGTGTTGGGCTCAGGTTTAGGATGGCCCTAGCTCAACCTTTCTCCCGTTCTCTTAAGATATCTTAAATTTTATTAATATTTGATTAAGAGACCTAAACTTAACTTTTATGGCCATATATTAATTATATTTTTATTGGTATTTGTTTCATTGTTTGTTTGATATTTTTATTAATTCTTTTAGTACAACAAATGAAATAAAAAGGAATGTTATGAATTATGATAAATCTCCAATTCAAAATCTAAAATCATGAAATTTACAATAATAATATATAAAATTATGGAATGAAAATCACTGAAAACAACTTGTCTTTAAGGTTGGGGCTTAAGAGTTAAGACAATCCTTATGTTTTGCAGGATAGGCTGACCTGGACGTTCACTCATCAGCATGGTAGATCCACATGTGCATTGGCATATAAATTGTGTCAAAGTCAATAGGCCCAATCCTCGAGCAGTCATATTATTCTAAGGATCTATCCTTAATGGCTTAATCCATTAATGGCTTAATGGATTGATAGACAAAGTAGCACATGTTCTTGCTAAGATTGGTTGTAATGTTTCTACAATCTATCTTTAATGGCTTAATCCATTGCTCCTGATTTTCCAACGCCAGCAATGAAACAGCCCAACACTAAGTGAAGTTGGATTTACAAAACCCAACTCTAACCCTAATCCAATTGTCAACCTAACCCGGCCCAAGGTGCATCACTAAGCTGAATGGTCAATTGACATCCCTCTAAGGCCCATTCATTTTTAGGTAACTTTGAGAAGGGGAAGTTGGTCAACGGAAAAGTGATTCTCATGGATTAATTTTCCAGCATTCCACCATTGAGTAAATTGCGGGCCCTATGGTAAATAATTTTTCCCGTGATACGTAGTATCACTTATACCCACATTCTAGGTGGACATAACATTGCCACCTGGGTGAAAAGTTAATAAGACATCTTGAGGCAAAAATGGTCAAAAGAACACTTACCTGAAAAACAAAAGAACACTTAATGGGGTAAGTGCATTTACTCAGATAAAAGGGCTTACCAGAAAAAGAGCATTATGGAACCTAAATGGGAAATCACAGGATCAAAACCACAGAACTACAGGTTATTCATCAGTGGACACACATGCACCCACCTCTGTCCCCACCAGTGTTTTCAAAATCAGACCGGACTGGACTGGACTGGATGGTTGGACCGAGAAAACTAGGAACTGGTCACTTAACTGGTTCCATTTCACTCCAAAATCACATTTTGGCCAAAAACCATTGATTTGGTCAATAAACCCCTGACCTGGGTGGTCGAACGGTTGATCCAGACAATGGTTTTGGGTCACCTTTTGTTTTCTTTTTTTTTTTTTTTTTTTTGGCTAACTGGCACTTGAGACCATTTCTTTTGATTAGTAAATCAGTTATTCGAACCATTCAAACCATCCAACAATTTTTTATCATTTTTTATTATTTTTTTAATTTTTTTTTATCAGAACAGGCCATTCGTTCAGACCGGACAGTTGGACCATTCGACCCAAGAACTGGTCCAAAAACGGTTCCTTATTCGGTCCGGTTTTAAAAACCTTGGTCCCCACCAATGTGTTAGACATATTGAAAATTACAACTAAGAATATGCCTGCAGTTTGCACGCACTTAGGTGTGTGGATATATGTACAAGGATGCTACGCACATTGGTTCTTAGAAAACCAGAGAACGTTGCACGTTGGCATGCACCACGAGTGCTTATCCTTATCATGAGACAAAGAAAAGAGAGATCAGATGCCTAAGATTCAGAGTTGGTGACTGAAAAGTCCCAATTCCCAAAAAAAAGTGAAGTATCTCAC